AATTCGTTTATTTAAAAAAAGATAGTAGTTTAGAAATAGTTTGCGCGACGAGTGCATAGTGCGTGTTGGATTTGAGACTTCACACACAAGAGGGGGGGGGGGGTGAATTGTGTGGTTTTGAAAAACATTGAGAAATAAAACCATAGTTGAAAACTTTTTCAAAATCTTAGCAGCGAAAAAGCAAAAAGCACAAGACAAATTACAAAAAATAAAAAAGTTTTAAGGGAAAAAGATGAACACCAAGATGTATAGAGATTTGGTTAAAACCAAAAAAAAAACCTGCTCCTCTCCCCAAGAATTGATCTTAAGTGTTTCAAATGATAAATTGAGAGCTTTTAGTAGGAAAGACCCACGAACCCCCTTATACAAGAAAAGGATGGTTGACCTCCAACAAAATACAAGACAATGGATTTATCTTGTGCGTCTTCTCTTGGTGAATTGAAGCGGTTAGTATTCTTCTCCATAATGGTAAATTGAAGCGGTTAGTATTCTTCTCCACAATGGTAAATTGAAGCGGTTAGTCTTCTTTCCATGAAATTTGTAAGCTTTTACACGGGTTGAGCTCACGAACCTTAATCCTTGGTTTTATAAGGGATAACCAATAACTTGTGAGATTTTTTATCGGGCTGATCTCAAACTTGATGAAAGATTTTATAAAGTTTTAAATTTCGAACCTAACCTTGGTTTTATACGGGCTAACCAAGAACCTATGAGATTTTATAATTGGTTTATCTCGAACTTAAGTTGGAATTGAATCACACAATCCCAACCTAAAGCTTTTAACAAGTTTAGCTTGTAACTCAAATAATTCCCTAATTGGAAATTGTTCAACCAAGGTGTACACAAGAGATTTCGTTGGTGAATTTACTATTCTACCCTTTTCAGAATTATAATTATCTCCTTACACAAAAGCACTTAGGCTAAACCAGTAGTTAGAAAAAGTTAAATAAAACTTTAGAGAGAGAAATAAATAGAGAGAGATAGATAAGTGTGTTAAAATACGGTTTGGTATTATTTGAAATGAGAAAAGGGACCTCTACTTATAGGCTAGAGGTTAGCTCAAAAAGGAATTTCCAATAAATGCATTTTATTACTTTCCAATCGATTGTCACGTTTTTACAATCGATTGAAAGCTTGAAATACAATCAATTATAACTTTAAAATAGGAAAGAAAATATTTCTAGCCACTTCACATTATGAAGGCGATGTCCCAATAGCTTGTGGCTCAATTTTGAACTAATCAAATCAATTGGGAAAATGCTCCAATCGAATGGAGAAGTCAAAATTTTGCCTATCGCTATTTTGATACTTCCTAATTTATTTGGCACAACATTAAGATATTTTTAAAGATATTTTCTTTGGTAAAAACTACTTTGAAAATGATTTTAGTGTGTATGTGTATGTGCGCTTTTAGCCATCCGCTTTTACGATAGAGCCCTTTTTCTTTATAGTTCACTCACTGACTAATAAAATAGAAGGTATCATGCTGCTTCAAGACTTAGCCAGATGCTTTCTCTTATATGAGCACTTGCATGAGTAGATTGAGATGAGACTTTAACTTATATTCCATTCATATTGCCATCATCTGATAGTCAAGTCTAACAAACTTTAGGTTCGCATCTTTATTCGCTTATTTGTTCACTGTTTGAATTATCATATTAGTTGTCATTATCAAAAGTAGATGTCCTTGTTAAAAGCATATTACTGCAAAACAAGGTTCCAGAGTGCATGCAAAGAATACTTTTGGACGAAATGTATACAATATTCAATTACTATACAAAATTGAAAGAAAGACAAATCAAGTAACCAAAGACAATCAATAAATATATTAAATTACAAATGCTTTACATGAGTTGTGTAAATGTAAAACTTCAATACAATAAGAATTCTAGAATTAAAATTTAAAGATTTAATCATCAACATGAATCATTTGAAGTCACGATCTAGCAAAACCTACACTTATCTAACAAAATCTAACAAAAACTACACGTATCTAAGAATAATTTGAAGTCACAATCTAACAAAATCGCCATTAATACAGTAAAACCTAACCATATGCGATTCTAAAAAAATAGTAAACCTAATCATGCAAATATAATCAAAATTAATATATATATATATATATATATATATATATATATATATATATATATATATATATATATATATATATATATATATATATATATATATATATATATATATATATATATATATATATATATATATATATATATATATATATATATATATATATATATATATATATATATATATATATATATATATATATATATATATATATATATATATATATATATATATATATATATATATATATATATATATATATAGATAGATAGATAGATAGATAGATAGATAGATAGATAGATAGATAGATAGATAGAGAGAGAGAGAGAGAGAGAGAGAGAGAATATGGTATGTCAGATGTATAATGGTTCGATAATTCGTTCTCGCAATGCCTGCTCCACTTTCCAATGGTTGCCCATTGAAATTTTTATGTTCTTCCACTTTGATTTTGAAAAATATTATAAAGTTGTTTAGTAAAATCAAAATATGAATAATGGAAAAATTGCAAAGTCTTCTATATGAAGCCTCGCTGATTTTTACACAGTATTTGACACTGAATCCTTGCAAAATATTTACATGAAATAAACTTAAAATCTTCCATATCCAAGAATGATGCTCCAAGTCTCTGTTCTCCAGCGATCTTTACTCAATCCTACTGGTATCTTGACCCTCGGTCTATCTTAAGATTGAGAAGAACTCATATTTTGTCTGCTTCCACACTACTCGAGAAAAGAACCTCCTTCTTTTCTGCTGGATTTGTCATCCCCAGCCACAACCACACATACACACAATTTGAAAACCCCAGAAATCCTCAAGAAGTATTCAAAGAAAGCATTAATCACAATAACAATCCTCCTCATATATCTCACACCCTAATATGAAAGCTAGATCTAAAGGAAATTAGATGAAGAAAGAGGTTGAAGATGAAAGATTTTATTTTCAAAACTCAAAACAAGATCGAAAACTATTTTTTAAAGTGAGAGAACAAGTGCGTTGTGAATTCTAAATCAATAATGGATGTGTATATTTTTCAACATTGTGAATGGGTTTTGAGATGATGGTTTTTATATATGTGCCGGAGATATAACACAAAAATGAGAGAACAAATCTATTTAATTTGAGTCATAAGCAAACAGTATGAGTCGAGTCAAGAGATTAAGTGATTTGGATTAAGATATAAGAATTAAGAAAATACCAACTTTGTGATTTGAGTCATGCTTTATGTGATTCGAGACATGAAAGTCTTTGATTTGAATCACATCTATAGAATCAAATTCCAAAAGATGTAAATTATGTCTGATTCGAATTAGAGAGTATGTGATTTGAATCAAATCCTCTATGATTTGAGTCATGGATCTTGTGATTCGAATCATGAAAGCATGAGAGTAATTATTGGATATTATGTAACTCTAATTCAAGTCACGCAAATGTGTGATTTGAATCACATTGCCAGATCCTCATTTTTTTTGCGAAATGTGAAGTGTTTTTTAGAATCCAATCTTATCCTAATTTGTACCATCTCAAATGTGGTTGTTAATTAAAAACTGAACAAAATGACTAGAAGCATATTGCTTGGAATATAAAAAACTAGTTTAATTTATGCATGCGTAAAAATTATTGAGAATAATAAGTCAAGTGTGAATTGGAGTCCCACATTCGTTATAAATATGGAGACTTGAGCATTTGTAAGTGGGAGAACCTACACACCTATCATCTTAAGCTTCTGGATGAATATGTGACATCTCTCTCACTTGTGTGTTGCTCTTGTCCCAATTTTGATGCTCTTCCTCATGACCTAACAAACGGTATCATGATCCTTTAGTTCAAGTAAAGAGACCAGCTTACTCGTATCGAAATACGCAGGAAGAGGTGTCCCGTTGTAATCGAAATGCTCAGGAAAAGGTGTATCAAAATGTCCAGGAAAGAGGTGTCAACGGCGTTACAAGTGTATGTGGATAAAAGAGTTTCTACAATCATGTAAGAAGATTATATAACAAAATTTTTGGAGGCATATGCAATGCAACTTCATAGAAGAACTGTTATATGATAGGTGGTTAAAATCTCTTATGTTTGGCCCGACATAGAATATAGGAGACCTTCTTTTTAGATCCTATGGTAAAGAATGGGAAAGTAGTTCAAATCTAATGTGTGATCCTGTATGGAGGTTCTACCTATTCGTCGTTCCTCGACGAAAATATTTTGTATCGAGTCTTCGTTGTTGAGCCGATCTTTTTATACGGTTTGTTTGGCCCGAAACTATGTTCATGTATGTCATACTTGTCTATGATTATGTTTTACAATTATGACATGTATGTCAATATGAGCTAGGTGTGGTCTAATGATATTTATTGATAAGTTAATCTATTATAATCACCACGTTATTTAGGAAAGACTGGGCTCTACAAAAATTATATCTCGTTTTTCAATTTCTCTGCATTCCAAGAGAAATAAAGTCTCTCTCTTATATTTCTCTCTCCAACGTCTCTCTCTATAAGTTCTATTATAATAAACATACTCTTAAAATATTTTAATTAAATATATGTATAATAATTTTTACTTTAATTAAATTATTTTGCAGTTTATTATATCTTAAAAGATTATGAAACTAATGTGAAATGAATTTCTAAAATAATCTGTATTCAAAAGTGAGTATTGGTTGCTCCACTGTATAACAAAAAGAAACTTATTACACTACAAAACTTGTAAAGACTAATAACAATAATCAACATTACAAATAACATTCTTCTCACTTTTCAAATGTTCCAAATCACACTCACAACTCCAATGTTTTAAATTACATTATACAACTACAATTACAACCTCATGCAATTTTCTATAATAACAAATTTTACAATAAAATTTTAAATGCGACCGCAACTACAATTTAAAACAGCTTGCTGACTCTATTGTTAGAGAACAGCCAAAGGCATCGAACGATCGAAACTACTCCGTAGCGCTCGAGTTCGACTACTCATCTTCTTCCTCATCGTCATCGCACTTCCGCCTTCAACTTTACTCCCAAAAGGAATCTTAGAAGGTGTAGATGGTAATCTTTCACCTAAACCTTCCCTACTAGCACCTCCATTAACAAGTATCCTTGTAATCCCTACATAGTTCAATGACTCAACAATTTGCAAAGCACTAACACCTTTATTAGTCCTTGCTTCAACATCAGCACCTTTCTTAACCAAAAACTCAGTCACATCAGCATGTCCTGATTCAGCAGCACAATGCAAAGCTGTATAACCATCTTCATCTTTTGCATCCAAATCAATACCTTTCTCCACAAGAAACCTAACAGCATCTATTCTTCCTTTGAATGAAGCTCTATGAAGTGATGTCCATCCATTTTGATCTCTTCCGTTGATCACTCCACCACTTTCCAAAACCTTCTGGATTGTCCTCACCTCGCCTTTTCGCGCTGCCGCGCATAAACTGTCCCCTAAGCGAAGCGCGTCGAAGAGGCGCGAGTGACCGTTTTCGGCCGCAACATCGAAGGCTGTTTTCCCTAGCTTGTTTCTCACATATTTTGTAGCTCCTTTATGCAATAAAAGCTTCACCATGTTCTCATCTCCATTGGCTGCTGCTATGTGTAAAGGTGTATCACCTTCTCTTGTGTTTCGAACATCGGTTCGCGCGCCGTTTGCTAACAAAAGCCTAGCACAATCTCTTCTTTTTTCTTCAACAGCTAAGTGTAAAGAAGTGTTACCATCTTTAGTCAATGAATCAACTTTTGCACCTTTGAGTAAAAGAAGCCTAAGAATCTCCATGTGCCCTTCTCTCGACGCGTGATGAATCGGTCGAAAAATCGAAGATTCTGATCCTTCTGTGTTGGCCTTATGAGCTAAAAGAAGCTCAACAATCAACGATTCGCCCGAGGAAGACGCGGCCTCAAGCGGAGTCGATCCAACAATATTTGTAGCTTCAATATCAGGCTTGAATTCAAGGATCAATTGAACAAGATCAGGTCTTGTTTTCGAAATAGCCAAATGAAGCAAACTTTGTCCCTTTGAGTCTCTAGAGTTAACAGATTCCCATAAAGGATCACTTTTTTCAAGCACTTCTCTTATATCATCCATTGAGTTACCATCTTCAACAAGTTGAGTCAAAATTTGTGACCCTACAAACATGACTTTGATTGCACTATCAATGAAAACTTGTTTTCTCTTAGTAGTGAACCAATCACTTGGGACAGAATCAAACATGGATGAAGGCTCTTTGATGGCTGCACCAGGAGCAAGAACACTATGTAGAAGAAATGAATCATCTGAAAAAGGAAAAGAGTGAGGAAGATTGTTTGAACCTTGTTGTTGTGGAGGATGATATGTTATCTCTATAACAAGTGATGCTAATGGAGAAATGATTCCTGATTGAGGTTTAATGGTGTACCTAGTTTTGATGAGTGGTTGAATCCTAAATGCAACGGGCATAGTGTACATGACATTGTTTAAGGTTATTTTTCCTAGACATTTTTGTCCTTGTTCAACTCTTATTAGTACTATGTTTGAAGGATCTAACCTTATGAGTCTATCCATGCTTTTTGGTGTTTGATTTTTAGCAACACTTTGGTTCTGTAGCTATTGTTTGATGTTCAGCAACACTTTGGTTCTGTTGCTATTGTTTGATGTTAAGAAAGATTTTTGTTGTTTTTTTTGGTGAGTTTAGAAGAAAAGTAGCATAAGGGAAAAAAATGAAGGAGAAGAGAAATGGTGAAGGGGTTTGGTGAAGAATTGATTATATTTTAAGGTAATGTGTGAATGAAAAAAGTGTTGCTATAGGTGCCGGCTATAACTAGAATGTGCCAAGTGGTGATGAAAATTACAATGATGACTTATTCTAATTTTTGTGAATAATTTAGAAAACTTTGTTGTATAAGTTTTCTTGGAAAAGGACTTAGTTGTATAAGTTAAAAGGGTGATAAATTAATCTCTTTGTTGTTTGTGATACTCAAAGCTTTCATTGTTTTTATTTTATTATATATTAAGCATTGAAAAGGCCAATTTTTGTTGTTTAATAATTATATTCCTATCGTTGTTGTTTGGTGAGAATATTATATAGGTATATTAGAATATTATATGGCCATACAAAGCTATAATAAACCACTGAATTGGATTAAATATATGTAAAAAATTAAAAGTTGAGACATTTTCATAAATAATATATATTTTTTTAAAATATCATCATTTTTGAGAGATTATTAATAATCCTTTAAAAATAATGTTTTTTATAAAAAAATATTATTTATAAAAATTTCTCAATTTTTATTTTGTACCAAATTATTTTAAGTAAAATCTATTGTTAGAATTTAATCTATGTCAGTCATATTTATTTAAATTTCAGGTTCATATTTATAAATTAATAATGTTTTTATAAAAAAAAATGATATTTATGAAAAAATTTGCAAGCAAACCATTTAAAAATAAAATTTGATTTTTAAATTATTTGATTCTTAGATCGGATATCTAGTTTTCATAAAACTAAAAAAGAAAACTTATTTCTTTGTTTTCTATTGATTATTGGATTGTTAATATGAAAATGATGGTTTGAATAAATACAAAAAGGTATAAAAAATTTTGGTTTGGTAATTTATGAAAACATTCGTATGTGACCAACAAGAAAGAAGAATATTTTATGTGATTTTTTCTGAGTATGCAAGGTGCATTAGTTTACTTAGCCAACTACTATAGTAATTAGTAAGGTCACAAACTATATTATTATTTAAAGATTCTCTAATGTTGCTTTGTGTTTTGTTTGCAAAATTTGTGTTTTGTCTTCTTCAAGGCCTAAAAGTAAGCATTTAAAAATATAAATTAATACCTCGATATGATTGTGTTATTTTTATAGTATTTTATTTAAAATAAATTTCAATTTTAAATAATATGTAATGTATTAAGAAATTCATGCATGCACATATTAAGTAATATGAGGATTTTTTAGGCAATAAATATATTTTTCTTTCTAATTTCATCCATTTGTCACTCTTGTAAAGGAAATATAAAATCTTAAACAAAGTAGCTGATTGGTGGAGTATAATAAAAGAAACATATGCATTGATGAAGTTGAAGAGCAAAATATATAATTATAAAGTATATTCTCTAGGTTTCTCACTAGTTGTAGAGGTACACTACTCTATTTAGGACCCCTCCCTATACAGTGATACTTCTCAAATCTAGTGAATGAGTTAAAATTTAATTTTAGAAGTAAAAAACAATGATTTTGACATGTTATTTGGATTGGGCCAAAGTCTATCTATATTGAACTTTTTTTTTTTTTAACTTTTTATGGCATCTTGTAGGGTTAAAAAACATTTTATGAAAAATTGAAATTATTCTTTAAATTTTAGAGAAGTATCTTCGAACGTATCATGTATTAATATAATGATGTATTAAATGAGTGTCATCCTATACGAACACTAAAGAAAATTCGGAGATACATCTTTGGATATTTTCAACTAAGTTATTGAAATTTAATAAATCTAATGGTTATTTCAGAGATGCATCTTTGAAAGTTTGGGGAAGAATTTTGAAATTTGATGTCACCTTTACATGTCAGATATTTTCGGAGATACATCTCTGGAATAATTTTGATAAAACACAGAGCTGCATGATCACACCTTCATACTTGCTTTCACTCAAAACCCTCACCAAAAACTCTTCAATTCTCAATCCATATTTTCACTCCAAAGCTTCAATCTTGTATTTCGTCACATCAAAGGGAGTAAAAGAAGTTAGAATTCTAGGTAAAGATCATGTATTTCAATCCTCATTACTCACATTAAGCTTTTTTTCTATCTGAAAAATGTGGGTTATTTTCGGAGATACATTTTCAGAAGAAGTATGAACTTATCTAGAAATGTATTTCGGGTATCAAACTGTGTTCGTTTTTTCAGTTCTGTTTACAAAATTAGAACTTATTTATTGTTCTGTGGTAATTGTTTTCATTAAATAGGATGTACCCCGGTGTTTCTCTCAAAAATGTTGTGTCTATGGATGTTAAAGATGTTGTTGTGAATGCGATAGATGTTTGCAACCAATTTAGTAATGAGCAAGAGTTTGAAATTTGTGATCACATGCTTCAATAGATTCGTATGGAGCCTCCAAACTGGAATTTGATGTTGTAATCGGAAGGTCCAATAGTGGTTCGGATAGAATATATGCTTTTATGACAATGACGTGGCGAAAGAAGCGGGAAATATAGATCTCCTCTTCAAAATTTTAAACGAGACGACACTGGTTCAAGAAAATGTGAGTGTTTATTTAAGTTGTGTGGTTATATGTTGGTAAGCAATAAATGGAGATTTAATGTCATATGTGGTTTGCATAACCATGAATTGTATGAAAAGTTATCTGGCCATCCAATTGTGCGTCGCCTCTTATCAGAAGAGAAGGAAAGTGTTTCTTTCATGACGTTGAATTTAGTTCAACCGAAAAATACACTTACAACTTTGAACACAAAAGACCCGAAAATATTTCAAATATAAAAAAGTGTAAAATATTCGATACCAAATGTTACGGTTATAATATGATATCAAATTATTAATTAATTTGAATCGCATCTTTAGTTCACAACCGCTATTTGATTTATCCGAAGGAAAAGGTCAAAATAGGGAAAACCTAATTTTGCATCGTAAAGACAATGCGGGGAGAGATCTAGGTAAGGGGTTGGTTAAGCCTAGGGAAGGTATTAGCACCCTAAACTTCTGTAGTACTCTACAGGAACCTTTTGTTTAAATTTACTATTTTGCTTTATTATTTGCTTGAAGATATATACTGAGCTAAGAGTTAAAAGTGACAGAATAACCTAAGGGTTAGTCCTAAGTTTACTTGCCAAGATTCACATCTTGTGCCTACATATCCTAGGTAGGGAATGGAATCAGAGTAATCGTAGTTCCCATCGAAAGGGAGGTTAGAAACTTCTTGACTATGGTCAAGGTTTCAGGGGAATAAGCATTTCTTAAGGAAACGCTTACGTGGAGTCTTAAGACTCCTATTTCTACGTTGAAATAGTTTGAATTGAAATTAAGGTTGACTAGATGTTTCACGGCGGGAAACCCTAAAACAGAGTGCAGCGACTCCTTAACCTAATGCTAGGGTAAATTGCATTTTCGTCCACGGCGGGACGCCTAGGCTAATAGGGTTTTGAAACGGTCAAGGGTTAGGACTACTGACTCGGCGGTCAAACTGCTAGACCTAATCCTTCAGAGGGTGTTTGACGGTGAATAGTGCAACAGATGAATTATTATGGCAACATTAAAATACGAAAATAAAGAAAGTGGTAAAGCAAAAGCATTGCGACGATCACTCGCGTAAATTACAAATTCCAAAAATGCAAAAATAAATAACTGCGACGATTACTCGCATGATTACAACTGAAAAGTGACAACACAAGCAAATGACAGATTAATAAGCTGAAGCGAACGAGATAATGACGAGGGTTAGACAGAAATTAAGACGTCTAAATCAAGATTTTATTTTTTTGAATTTTATTTAAAAGAAAAGTTAACTGAAGGAGAAATTACTTTAATTTTGCTGTTTTTATTTTAAAATTTTTTTTTAATTTAATTAAAAATATATATTTTAATTTTAAGGTTTTTTTTTTATGAAGAAACTTTATTTTTAATTTTGTTGTAATTAAAAAAAGTTTTAATTTTAATGAAAAAAGTTTTAATTTTAATGTTTAAAAATATTTTAATTTTAATACGAAAATGCTTTAATTTTAATGTGAAAAAAATTTTAGACTTTTAAAAAAATGTTTGAATTAAAAAAAAAAATTTAATTTTAATTACAACATGTTTTAGATGGCTTCAAAAATTCTTTATTAAAATGTTTTAAATTTTAATTATGAAACATGGTTTCACTTTTTTAATTAAAAACGTTTTAGATTTTAATTATGAAACCCTTACCAACAATTACAATTAAAATCAAAACCTAAATCTACTAAATGAAAAATAAAGACAAAACACAAAAACATATAAAAAAGGAAGGGGGCGTGATGTCTTTGTACAGCCTCTAGGGTTTTTTTGTTGTGAAACCCTTGTCTTCTTCTCCCTGTAATGGCGCCGCACCATTGTTATGAGCTCTCGGAGCTTTTCCCTTCTTCTTTTCGCCTGCATGTCCTCGTTCAGCTTCTTTCTCTCCCTTTTAACCTAAAACAAGGAAAGCCCAGAAACAACCCATCCGTTAAGAATGTGTTACCTTTGGATGATGAAGGAGGCTTGGCCGATGAGGAATGGAGGTTCTGAGGCCGTCGTCGGTGGTAGTGACGAACTCACGGCTGTCGTGGAAGACTCTTCTCTCCTTTTGTTTGGATGGCGTTAACGGTGAGGTTTCGATACCCCTCTTCCCGACGATGATGATGATCCATGCTCGGATTCACTGAGTCGCCGTCGCTTCTTGCTTTTGGGTTTTCAGATGCTTCTCTTCTTTCGTCTTTCTCGACGGTGATGATGATGAAACTCAAAGAGATTCTATGAACCTCCCTCGATTGCGCCGCCGCTTTTTCACTTTTGGTTTTTCGGATCCCCCCTTTCTGAAAT